AAGGTCTGCAGGCTGCTTGGCAAAGTGACACCTAGCAAGCTCTGGTTGAACTTTCTGCCAAAAGTTAACACCTGCAGACCGCTTGGTAAGCTGCTACCTTGCAGGCTCTGATTAAACTTCTCCCCGAAGGTCAAGGTCTCCAGGTTGCTTGGCAAGTGGAAACCTTTCAAGCTCTGGTTAAACTTCTTGCCGAAGGTCAATCTGGCAATCGCATTGATCACTGCCTCATGCCTGTGGTCTCTCGTCCCTTCTGTGATGGCCCTACGGAGCCCCATCGCTGCCTCCAGTGCACAAACCTGTCGAACGACATATGAGATCTCTCGACCACGTGCTTCTTGTAACAGAGGCTTGGACAAGTCCTCAAGGATTTCATCGCCAGCAAAGAGAACGAGTTGCCGACCAGCTTTCATGTTAACTCTTGCTGCGATGGTCTTGAACAGGTCGCCCACCTTATGGCTTCGCTGAGTGTTTGGAAAAGCACAACTTCTCAACCCAGGTGTCAAGAAAAGTCCATTGAAAGAATGTCAGGCAAGACTTTCAAACCTCTAAGATCTCAAGTTCAACTGCTAGGACTTCCAGTCATGTGAACTTCACACAATAAGAGGCGGTACAGGGTACAGGTACAGCTAGTGGACATCTTCGGATACTTGCATTTAGTTGGAATCTCCAGGTACCAGTACCCGTCTCAAGCTCCTGTTCATGGACAAGTTCCCCCTCACTGCATACATCTGTAAAGTGGAATCCATCCGCGATCAGTAGATTGAGTACTTAATAGTACTTGTATATATATGTATATATTATATATACTATATAGGTATCAAAGGACTTCCTATGGACATGGGAGCCTCTCAATCGAAGGTGAACAACAAACTTGTGTCGATCAGCGCGCATGATATAAATCAAAGTTCAGGGTTGTGCTTACAAAGTTCCTTCGGCGTTCAGCGTTGCATTGCTGTCTATATGAAGTCTGTTGTCCTCAGAGTTCAGCCTGGTACTGGGAACCCTCCTGTGAAAGTATTTCTCAAAGTGCCTGTTGCTGGGATTGGGATCCGAGAGATAGGCATTGCTGGTTGCGGATGAACACTTCCGTGACGCATCTGTCTCCACATCGCAACTTGCGCCCGGAGATCAGCCCCACCGAGCCAACAACCGGATGCACTCGCGACGCGTCTCGCGACGCATCGAGCTTGCCGTCGAAGCCACTGTGGCTGTCTCATTCACTGGGAGCTGAAAGCTTGTGCCATCGAGGCCATTGACATCCATGGTCCAAAGGTGGTGCGAGTTCCGCGCCTCCGTCACCAGCCTCACGGAACATGTGGAAGAGTCGTTGGAGTCGTTGTGGCGAAAGAGAACTAAGGTGAGACAGTGGGCGTTTAAGGCAGGTGATGTATCTAAAATGCTGGGCCATCCATTGTTAGCATGGTGTCAGTGGATGTCAGTGCTCGAATCAAACAATGTGATTCCGAATTGTGTGCCCTATACTTCAGGCTGAAGAACGAGTTGCTGAGGAACTATTGGAAACATGACACCCCGTGAACTCAACCGGTGTCCAGGGCACGCCGAAAAAACGGCCAAACCCGAACTCACTGAACTCACCCAGGATGAATCAAGGAGAGGAAGCTTTTTGGACCTGCGAGCCAATTCACTGAAGAAACATGCTTTGGACGAGCCTTACATGCTCCGCATATGCAGAGATCCTTAGCAGCGGGGAAAGAGATTGTCCAGTAATCATCTCAACCCCTGCGACTGCCATCCCTCTTAACGGTGTGTCAATCATCTCCGACTTATAGAACTCCGCATATGGCTGCCTCTTCATCGTCATCTACAGTATAAAATATAAAACCAGCCAAAGAGCGGAAATGCTGCACATATATATATATATATACATATATCCCTAAGAATCATTGGACCCTCCTATGGAGGGTTTGGAGCCTGCATAGCAGGGGTTTGGACCCTCAAAACCTTCACCTTTGAGGGTCCTTGATTCTTAGGGAAGTCAATAATAATTCGCTGAAAGATCGTGCGGCACACTTTCCAGAGTTTGTTCGAGAAGTGAATATAGGAAAAAGGCACGGACTCAGCCAGAACCCGAGCTGTGTTTTCGGACGACTCGGACGGTCACCCCTTTGGCAATGGAAAGGATGCAAATGGGGGTTCCCAAAACTTCTCATGGATCCTCTTAGTAGATTTTATAGTGGGCCCTTGTGATCCCCTTCATGCACTTCTGAAGTGCGGAACCCATGAGTTTCACTCAATCTAATTACATTGAGAAGGGAATCATCCATCTCCAAGCGGCTCATTTGCCCTGTGCAGCAGCCGCTCTGCCCGCTCTGCATCCTCCGCGATGAACTTGCGCAGCACAGCTTCGCAAGCAGCATCGTCGCTCAACGACACAGCGCTGTTAGCGGCGCCCATGCGTGAGAAGTGCCGCGGAGTGGGTGGCACTGAAAAAGTGCCAAGACCAAATCGTTGCGGGATTAGAGGCTACCAGGGAGTGTTCTTGTGTTTGCCGGGTTTGGCCACTTTTTGGGAGGTGCTTCGTGCTTTTGTGTCGAGTGGGTTACGCTGGAAGTGCTCGTGGAGATGCCCATGCTGTGCAAAGCAGCCAACATCGCTGCGCGAGGCACGGTGATCCGGGTCGTTGTGATCCGCATAGGCCGCTTTCGCTCGATGTTGATGGTATTTCTCGATGTTTCTCGGCCTGTGCAGCCGCGCGGCGGTCGGACGCGCGTGGCGACGTGTGGCGCACCTCACGTCGGTGATCTCCACCTGGCGTGCTGGCAGTGCCAAAGAGGCGCCCAGGCCGCGCTCCAGGTCGCGCCGAGCCACCTGATGGAGGAGATGGAGATGGGAGGAAATGGGGCAGAGAGTCCTGTGAAGTTGAGACAACTCCGAGTCATGAAGAAAGCATGACGCTGGAGATGAGGCACACATAGGCACACCATATGAGAAACTAAGCAAGCAGTCCAGGTTCAACACCGCTTACTGTTCCACATCTACTGTTTGGACATCTCCATCAAGCCACGTCTCCGCTGGGAGGTTCATTCAGGTCGACCCGACGCGTCGGTCGACCTCATCCGTGGACAAGGCCATGCAGTCGGAGACGATGATACTGAGCTCGCCACCTCGAATGGGCGTTTCTCAACGTATGTCGTCTTGAATACAAATACAGGGGTGAACAAAAAAGCAATAAATAAAAAAAACAATAAATGATGAAATGTTGCCAGAATTTAGCAAGTGCACATACCAGGGCACCCTTTAAAGGGTGTCTAATTATAGCTCCTTATAGAGGCTATATGGGTAGTCTCCAACCACCCAAAGAAGGGGCCTGGGGCCTGGTACCAGTAGTTGAGTATCTCCATGTCCAACCACGCCACAGTAAAAGCCACCATGGAAAGCCCGGTGTAGAATTCTTTCCCGTCACGTTTTAGAGTTCCAGCCACCACTTGCAACTCTAAAAAGGGCACACCCGAGCTCCTGGCTCCAAATTCCAGCCGACTGGTATTTTCACTTTTGGATTTGAGGCGGTGAGTGGTTGAGGAGAAATGGACCCTAATTATATGGGATCGTTGTATTGTTCCAAGAAAATATCCCCGTGAATCTCAGAAACTGAGAACATGGAGACGCATCAATTGCCTGGACGGCGCAAAAACACAAATCATTGGTTACTGGTTTGCCTGGACGAGAAAGCCATCCCACGCAAAAAAAAGGAAAAACAGCTTCCGGGTCACTGACAATGCTTCTGGCGACAAACGTCGTGGTAATGCTTGTAGTTGTGGTGCTCGTTGTGGACGCTCGAACCACCTGCGATGCTGGACGGCCACGCACGTCGCGGTTGGGGAGGAGAAGGCCTGAAGGCCTTTCGGTCCCAAATCGAGGAAGAGCTCCTACGTCGTGCTCATGCTGTGGGTAGAAGGAAGACGAAGGAATCAAGCCATGGAGCGACCGGTACCGGAGCGTCCCTTCAAAGAGCGAGTAACCAAAAATGCCTCCGAAACAGGGTCATGAAAGCATCATGGCACGCGTGAAGTTTGGACAGAAGGCTCTAAGATAGGTGCATCAAGTCAAAGTTGGATGGAGAAGAGCTTGTAATCGAGGATGTCAAACGATGTCAACATCCTCCAAAACTCCGTGCTTGTGATGGAGTAAATGGTCACAGCAAACGGAATATACAGCCACCATTTCGCCGCAACATGTTGGTCCTTTTTTCACCGCGAATCCTGGACCTTCCTTTATGCTCGAGCAGTCAGTAAAAATTTGAAGACAGCAAAGCGTATCATTCAAAGAAGAACCTTGATCGCATCCTACCACCTGAGTCTGTTGATTAAAGGTTAATAGACTGTCTATTTTCTGTGTTTTCTTTAAGGTGCTTGATGAGTATATGATAGTATATGCCAGACCTGTCGACGAGCCCTTCTGAACGCCTCACATCCCCACGTCCCTCGCTTTGAGCGAAGGGCTTCAAAGCCGGCTGGCTTCGGCCCAGCGCGCAACCAACCGCAACATGGCCCAGTAGTTACAATGGGTTACTTGGGATACCCCCTTCTCTTCGCCTGGGGGGCAGTGTCCTGGCCCCCCAGTTGACCTCGGCCTTCCGCGCGATCGACCCGGAATTTCCACGGAAAGCACGGTTTGAGAGACGGCCTCGAGGGTGTAGACGACGCTCACGTCAGCGCTGAAGGCGGAGAACACGCGAAGAAAAATCCGGTTGACGGCCGGCCTCGGGGCGTGGGCGCAAAACCCATGCAGGGTGGGCATGCATGCAAACCCGCGCCATCCGGTGATGGCAAACCCTGGAGGCCCCATGGAACAAACGTGCCCCGAACGTGGCCCAGGGACCTTTTCAACAAAGGCATCTTTGTTGTTGCCTTGCTTGACAAAGGCTGCACGAACGTGTGAAATGGTGGTCTGCTAGTGGCCGCCGGTTGACTTGCCAAATACGGTTGATGAGCAGTGGAAGAAGGAAGAGGGAGCGTAACAAAGGAATACGTATCGGGCCCTCAAGGGAGCGTAACGACTCGCTGAACATGCACGATCCCTCAAAATTGGGCCACCTGGTCTGAGATGGGGCACACCTGCTCCTTCAAAGCCCACAGCTCAGCTGACAACAATTCCAGGTGTCTTAGATTCTCTAGCGTCAGTAATTTCCAGATTCGGCACATGGATAGACTCAGATCATGCCCCAACAGTCACCGAAGAGCTACACTCCGTCATTTCAGCATAGCCAAAGAACCCTGGCTGCCCCTGAAAAAATAACCCCCCCAGTCACACATGAACGGCCTAGACATATAGTAGTTATCTTATTCACCTGGACCTTTCGATCTTGTTTGCAACATGACATTTCAAAGAAATGCCTCCATCAACAACTCAGGCCTTTCAAAGATCCAGCTCTCGCTTTCTGCAAGCAAATGTTTGGGCGACTCGCTTTGGCTCTAATTATCCGCTCTACCTCCGCTCAACCCGCCTGAAACACCGTTTTTCACGTTCGGCCGCCGTTCCGACGCAGATCCTCGCGCCCAGCCGCTCCATTTCCAGCTGCACGGCGGGCGGATACTCCGCACGCTCGGCGGTGCTGTAGAGTGTGGCGCTCAGCGCGATGGAGGGCACAGCATAGGGTAAATCGAGGCGGTAACTCGGCAGTGGTGTGTTGCCTCGGCTGGGGTGATGAAGATGATGTCGAAATGCTGGACGTCTGTCATATGGAAGTCTGGTGTTCTGGACATCTTGAAGCTGTAGGTTTTGCCGCATGGGCGCGTTGAGGAAGTTCAGTTGAGGAAGTTGAGGATGGTCCAAAGCTGGGGAATTATCCACAGGTGTCCTTTTTCCATCTTCATTGAAACAGTATGAACACCACTGGACATCTGCCAAACAACCCTTCCTCAAAATCCAAGGGGTCAGTGCCACACTTGTGGTCAGCGATACACCGCTGCGTGCACCACGAGCACCGCTCCATCGGCGACGCGAAAAAAGGCCACGGAGATCCGCAGAAACGCCCAGGTCGAAAGCGGAGGTGTTGCGTTCTACTAGCTGTAAAAGACACGAGGTGCCTGAGTGGTCCAGAAAATTTGGACCGTGTCACCGTGTCGTTTTTAAAGAAGTAACTCAAGGCTGTCCAAGGTATCCTTCTGAGGTCAGTTGTCCAGTTTGGTGTCCCGATCGTCACCGATTCATTCCCGCCCCGCTTGCCTGGACGTGCCAAGTTCAGCCCATCCACCTCACCTCGGCTCCCGTCTCAGGCTCCAGGGGATCCGGGAGGGATGAATCGACCAGAGGTGAAATGAAGAGACAGCCTGGACCCTCCTGGCGTGTCTGAAGCCTTTTTCAGTCGTGTTGGGGTAGCCCATTGGACACCTCGAATGGATAGTCCTGGTATGAGTTGATGTTGTGTGAATCGATTATCAAAGGTGAACAAAAGGTGCACTTTAGAATGTTTGACCCTCAGGGAAAAACCCTGTTGCTCATGTTGCTCTCTTTCTTTGTCGGAGGCTCCCATCTCCTCACCGACTCCTCACCCCATTGGGGGCGGAGGCGCCCGCAGACGCCACGCCGACGTCCACGCCCACGGCCGATCCATCAAGGCCACCAAACAACTGGAATGAAGTACAGCCATGGACTCACTGCCGCACCTGCGTCATGCCGTCATGCCTGCATCCATGACACTGAAGCCATAGTCCAGAGCAAACGGAGGCACCCTCAGCAAGCCATTCAGCGAATCACATCTGTGAGATCATCTGTGCTAATCTGTAGATCACAACCCATCCCAGTGGATCTATTCACTGCTCTTCCAGAAAGCTGCATTTCAAAAATGATGAAAACAACCTAGTGAACCTGGACCTCGAAACCCCAACAGTCAACCTTGGAACTTTTGTAGGTTTCGCTCACTCCAGGCGGTGAGACTCCGCTCCGTCCTTTTGGATGGACTTCACTGGGTTGTTTTGTATGTTGGTAGATCTCATACAAATACAAAAGTTATCAAAATGTATTTCAAAAGAAACACAACAAAGAACAAGCAAACTCGATCTCAAGGAACGTGGTCCAGCTTTTGGTTCTCCCCTTTGAGAAGTCGAGAAGTCCTATCAACGGGACTCGAGCCCCCTTCCCCAGAAAGAACATGCCTTTATAGGCAATCGTTGGTCACATCACAAGCAACCATTGGTCTCAAAATCAGATAGAACCCCACACTGAACTGATTCCTGAAAACAGTAAACTTTAGGGGTTCGATAAAAAAATACCGAGGCCCAGCACCGACACCGCAGAGTCCAGCGGCAGGGTGGGTGTGACGTTGACATCGTCCAGAAGGTCCAGCAGCTCCACCTGAAAAAGCGGTGAGACGGTCGACGGATGATTGGAAGTGACTGCAAAGTCAGAAGAGATGAAGAAGCCTTGCACTGCACTGAAGAAGGCGTTATGTTCGCTTCTTGCCCTTTGGCGGTCGCAAGTGCAAGTTGGGTTGTCGAAATGGTGCCCACACAACGCATACTCCAAGTGAACCCGAACTCGGAGGACCGCCACACCCAGTGCCTGACGCCTCTCTCAAGTCGTCCACTTATTCCCAGCCTCTAAGGAACTCAAGGCCGGTGGCTGCAGCACAAGGGCCGAAAAACGCACCTCACAGCGGACCCGCCCCCGGAAGAACGCCCGAAGCGCCCGGCAACGGAGGCGCCGGGCGTCGGGAATTCCCACATGAAATGAAGCATTCGGATCCCCAGAAGACATGACATGGAGCTTCGATCTTCCGGCATAGCTGTTTCTTGCGATGCTTAAGATGTATTCATCAGGCCTTTCCTTTCCATGCATCGGTACAAAGTGTTCTTCTCCTCCTTCTCCTTCTCCTTCTCCTTCTCCTTCTCCTTCTCCTTCTCCTCTTGCTTCTTCTTCTTTTTCCTGCTCTCTGCTTGTTTCTTTTCCTGCTTGCTTGTCTTGTTATGAAGAAACCTAGCGCCAACCTAGCGTTGCCTTGCTGTATCACCATAGTCTGCTGGGGGGCCCGCTTCTAAACAAAGACTTAAACACACTGCCCGTTTATCTCTTTCTGAGTAGGGCTTTTTGAGTGTGCACTTCAATCACGGCATGGAAACCACGGACTTGCAAAATATGGACCATGTGAATGGGTAGAACATACTACAGCAGAATATATGTGGTTCTCGGTATAGACTGGTATAGTGGGTTCAAATTCAATTGTTCTCCTCAAGCAAGGAATGACCAGGAATGACCAAACATGGGAGGGCTTGCAATATGCTGAAAGAAGAGTGTTTCATGATGTCTTTGAAACCCTTTGCACCCTTTGTGCTTCAGTTCTTGTTGCTCAATCCCTGTTCACTGATCTCCTGAAACTCCCCCGACGCAAAAAAAAATGGGTCAAACTCAGTTGCACTGAGCTGAACTTAGTTGGACTCCCTACTGCTGTTCTCCAACCGCCGCTATCCGGTGTCCCATGTCCCCTGTCCCGTCCGTCCGGTCGAAGGTGGCACCGTGTCGGTGCCCAGATCCGAAGTCAGGTTGAGATTCACCTCGCTGATGTTGACGTCGACGAACAATCCGCGCGGAGGCGAGTGACGAAGAATCTTTTGGATTTGGGTTGATTTGGGTTGGTGCCCCATAAAGGATTGATATGGATTTTGATGGTTGATATGAGCAGTGTTGTTTTGGCAACTACGGGGCCTATACACTGGAAGCACACCTTTGCATCTGCCTTCGCAAGCCTTCGCGAGACATATCTTAGTGCAAAGGGTGCCTTCACGTCTAAACTTGTTTTATATGTGGTGCTTTCGCGATTCGCTTTCTCAAACGTTTTTGGCTTTCCACACTGCCCTCTAGGGATAAGAAAAAACATATTCCAGAGGAGATGAACGATGCCTCCACAACTGCAAAGGATACTCATCACTGCAAGAACAAATCAATTCAACAACGGATGTGTCGGATGTGTTGAAATGTGTTGAATTATATGGGTTTGTACGGCTTATACTAGTGAGACCCCAACCCATGGGGTGATAACATGTTTTTTTGTCGATATTTGTCCTCTTCCCAGGGGTCTGAGGGGTCTCTGGGTCCTCCCTAGTTGCTAAATCAATCTGAAAACGCTTGCTCAGTTTGGTTCATCTTTGGAACCGCCATTGGCCGACTTACTGCTCGTATCTGCTCGTCACCTGCTGATACAGCTAAACCTGGTTTTCCCCGGCCACCTACTGCAGTTCGTCGCAAATCCCCATGCATCGCCAGTCGTTGCACCGAGCGGCCACCTCTGAAAAGCCCGCCGCGCGGTTGGCCACGAAATAGCGCGCCATCAGACCCCCTGGCGAACTCGGGTGGCCGAAAGTGTAAACGAACGCCCGGGCGTCACTGGACGGCCGGCAACTCTTTAGACCAATCTCACACGACGCCAAACACGTCGAATGTGTGGTCCGGATCCACCTGCCGGTGAAAAACAACACACCCTTTGGACCAACTTGCCTCAAACAAAACCCAGGGTGTGACCGGAAAACCGTCGAACACGGGTTTGAACACCGACTCCATGGATTTCCCCTGCGTCTCCCCACCATGGGAGTCCGACCAAAGGTACCTGACATGTCCCTCCCGTTTCGCTCAACCAGCAACAAGTGGACCAAACATTTGGACGAATCCCACGATTGCCTTGCAAAGGTGACATGTGAGCACGTGAAGTGTTTGATTGTAATGCAGTTTCCTCGAGCCAAAGCACTCAATTAGTACAAAGTACATCAGTAAATCACATATAGAAACAACACCGGACGTACATCCGCAACATACTGTGACCCACATGCCGACATGCGATCCACAACGGAACCGGGATCCGATCCACCCGCGGACCGGGCGTCCGACCTCCCGACCTTTCGACCGTCGCTGGTCCGACCGGTCCACCTGCTTTGCAGGTCCGTGGCAGATCGGCGGATCGTTCTTTCTCCGTCGCGATCGGTGCATGGCGATGGTGGGCATCGAATGACCGTCTGAAGCCTGGATCACCCTGGTACCAGCAGACATTTTGGGACATAAGGGTGCTATCCTCGTCACATGCTGCGGAGCCCTGGAGGGTCCAAAAGCCCACCCGACATGGAACTGCGTCGTTCGAACCTCACAGCGTCATCTGCTTGGAGCGCTCAACTGGACCCGTGCGCTCGATGCCAACCAGCGCGGATCAAACACCGAAGACTCCACCGGGTTTGCCCGGTGCGTGGCTTCTCAGGCGTCGATGGCTGGAAGGTTCCTGATGGCGTCTGGATGGCGTCCCTGTTTGAAGCTATTGTGTAAGTATCTCGAGGGATTTACAAGTTTATTGGGAATCCCATAACAGGAGCTCTATTGACCATCTGCTTCCCTTCGGTGTTCTCTGGGACAGTTGAACAGATCTGTCAAGGCTTTGAGGGTCATCCACCTCTTCCTGGTAGGGATGTTAGTGGGAAGTGGATCTCTTCCAAAAAAGCAGTCGGACTCCTGCGGAAGGATCGCACGATCGACGATACCACACAATGGACTGAAGGAAGAACTTCTGCACCGATTTGGATGTGCAAAGTGATGCAAGAATTTATACATCTCAGCTGCTCTAGGATCCCGAAACGACCTACGAGTACGATGTCTGAACTGTTTTGTGGAGAAAGGTCTCCATTTTTGTGGGCCGGCTGATACCCTATGTTTTGAGCCATGGACATCGGTCAGGTGTGAACCGAGAGGGACAGAACAAGCTCGTCGTTTTCGTGTGTGGCCCCGGTGACCTCTGACATCACGGCGAAGTGGGTGTTCTTCCAGTTTAGTGTTTGGAACTTGTTCTGGTCCCCTGCTATCAAACATTTCTCTATCCACCAGCTTCAATATCCCTGGGCAAAATGCCCTCTGTCCCCCCACCTCCTGCCTGTTCTTTCCTCTTGGCTTTTACTCCTCGTGAGTGAATCGGCTCCGTCCTATAAGCAGCACACACCCCGTTGGAACCTCCAAATTCTGAAGTTGGACCAACACACCCACTCTCCGTCTCCACCCGCTGTCCAAGCGACCGTCCCCGGCCGCCCCGCCGCGCCGAGGTGGCGCGTGGACCCGGAGGCGCGACCGGCGCGACGAGGTGACGCTCGGGACTGGGGCTGTTGGCGCCGGTGGGGAGCTGCGGGGTGTCACGGTCGAAGAGGAGACCCTTGATGTCCACCTGGTGCATGCCGCGCCGTGCGTACGGTGCCTGGTATGTCGACGTTGTGCCTGGGAACCGGAGTGGATAGTGCGGGTGGGCTCAAGAGTACAGGTTGTGTTTCAGTTCAGTGAGTGGAGATGGTATGATACTGCCCATTGAGTTGATGCACAGACCCGAGATATTGAGCTCCAATCAAGGCAGGAAAGGCTGGAGGGATGCGAATGGTCGGTGAACCGATCAAGAGCCGAACTCATGCAAGGATTCAAAAAAAGGAGGAGCAGGTCTGTTCAAAGCAGGGTTCCACTCGTGTCCACCAGCTTTTCTCAATGGAAGATATTATATATCATATGTATATATATTAACATACATAAAACATCATAAAACTAGGAGCGCTTCCACAACCAGGATTTGGGTCAATAAGACTCTATTTGAAAACCATGTGGCGGCACCAGCACGGTGTTATGGTGTTCTGCACTTTTCGGCGACTGAGGCGCGACTTCTCTCAAAAAGCAGCATAGCAGCACTGGGGGGAAGGCATCCAAGTATAGGTCAGGCGTGACTAAGGCATACTAAGGCATGGTATGGACTTCCCCTGTACCCTGTGTCACTGTGGTTCGCTGAAGAAACTGCTCGCATCCACCGTGAAAAAAACACCCAATGTCCCTGCTCCAGGCCTGTCACTGGAGAGCGATGGATTCTAGAGTTCAGGATAAGTTCATCTTTAGAACCCACCAATCACCCAGGATCAGTCGCTTGCCGGAGTCCGCTCTTGGACGTCCCTTGGTTGACCCGTCATGTTCTTTCGCGAACTGAATGACTGGATGGCACCGAGCTTTCATAGGTTCAGAGTAGAGGGCACAATCCCCCAGTTTGGTGGTTCTAATGGACCCCATTGAGAAAAGAAAACAAAAAAGGGGGGGGTATCCACTCACTACTCTGAAACCAATGTATATAATTTTTCAGCCAGAGCTTTGTTTTTTCCAAGTTTGTGAAATGGCGGGCCCGCCTTCCGATCGCAGCTCACACAGCGTGCAGCCAAGGGCTTTCGCCAAATGGCTGCATCCACCTCCTGCTCAGTGGTCAGCTTTTCAAAAGTTTGCCACAATATCCTCGGCACCACACTGCAGGCGATGAGGTCATGTGGCTTGGTCGCAGTATACTCAAATCACCGCATCTATTGCTATACCTTCCTGCGATTTTCGGCACAACGAGTATGCCAGGCCACAATGAGTTCAACCCACTACCAAAAGACTGCAGCAATATTATGCCATCTCAAAAGTGGAGAGGACGAAGGTCATTTCAAACGCCTTTTTCACAGAGTGAGAATCCACCTCCAGCGAAGTCAACATGCCTCTCTCTCACCAGTGAACCCGTCTTACTCTGTTCGGACCGCTTTTACTGGGCACCCAGAACTTCCTGACCCCATTCCATCCACTCTCTGAGAGTTCCGGGACGTCCAAAACGTTCCCAGGTTCCGTTCCTGAACCTCGGGAGGTCTGTCGATCCACCCATGAGAAGCACCTGCCAAAAAGGGAAACAAGTGGATTCATCCACCGGCGCACATCCCGAACCTCGTTCTCCAAGCTTTCCTGCTCCGCCAGGATTCTGCAGTTGATTCTGCCAGAGTCGAAGCTGCTCCGCCAGGAAGTCCAAGTCCTCTGATCGCGCCTGGCAGAGAGAGGGTGAGGCTCGGAGAAGGTGAGGCCGTCGGAGTGAACGAGGTTGACGTTGGCCAAACGAGTAAAGCCTAGAAGCCATCTGGCATCATCTGAGCTCATCCAACATGTTGGATCCTTTGATTTGATGCCAACCAACTGACTCGTCATCTCCTCATTTGCTCCTTATAGATGACCACTTCATACCGAGATCGACATAATCTCTGAGATCGACATAATCTCTGAGAAGGTGGTCAGAGTATTTTCGGGCGAGTACAAGAGTCCTACCGAGCAGGTCGCCTTCTCCTCCATGTTGGCCACCAGCTCCTCGCGAAGCTTCTCCTGAGCCATTTTTCAGCAACCGAAGTTCACAAACAACATGTTGTGGATTGATGCATGTTTTATATGTTTCTAAAGGGTCATCCGAAACTACATTCTTTCAGTGGTCTTAGACTTCCAGGATAAAGAAACAAGACAAAGGTGAACACAAAACCAGCAAAACCAGTTGCCTCAGGTACCTCTGTTTCATTGATGATGCCAAGCATTCCCCAGAGAAAAAGGAAACACTTGGTGACCTGCGCATGGGAACAGGTTCCAGGTACAGCATGGCGTACGGTCTGCTCAGCTTAGGATCAGTCCCCTAGCAGTTTGTCTGTCTTTGGATATTGGACTGTCTTGGAAATGGCCATGGAGGTGGAAGAGACAATGCTTGGATCTCCATGACGTGGGTCTTTCTGGACTTGGGAGAACACATCTGCGCAGGTGGTGCGAATGAGCCCGATGAGCCAACTGTGAGGTGCAGAAGATCTCATAAGCAAGATGGGTCAAAAGAACAATGGCTTGCGAAGCTTATCGGACCAACAAGTCACATTTACAAATCTCTTGGGGAAATCATTGAAAATCTGTATCCGTACACAAATGTGACATGCCATGATAGTTGGGGCAAGCTCTTGATGTGGATCGTTTTCGGGAGGCTCCAAGGCGAGTTATATACCCATCACTTGACACAAAGGAGACCTTCATAGAACTCCATGTGTTCGCTGGATTTGCTCAAAGGCGCGTGACAAAACACTACTGAAAACTCCAGGCTGGATCCATACCCTTCAGCCACCTCCAAGCCTGAGGTCCTGCCCTAACTGGACCCACATGCCACGGTGCCATCTCACTTCGTAGCAACGCTTCGAAGCGTTGGAACGTCTCCCGCAGCACTGCAGGCGAGACAAAGGGCATCCCAGACTCGCCTCGGCCGAGTCGAGGGCATCGTTCGGTCGAGTCGAGAAACCGCCGGGCGTCCGTTGGGTCGACCAACGGGCCGTCCGTGAACGGTCGTCGTGGAGGCGACGACACTCCCCCCAAAGGTGTTTCACCCCCCACCACGCGCGAAGATCAAGTACCAATTGAAAAAGGGAAGATGGAAGATCGGAAGAACCCATGAAAACCGCCATGGCGCCGTAGAGGAGCTGTTGGATTTGCAGCAGTAGATCCACCTCATCGGAGGACTCGCTGAAGCCTTGACCTCTGAGCAGTTCCCCCAGCAATTGCAGCATCCTTGGTGTCCCGAAAAAAGCAGGACACATCTGCTCCGGCTCGGAAAACCGTAGGCACATGGCAGTGGAAGCATACAAAAGACATGGGTCCGTATAATATCTATAGTGCGGATCATCTGTAGGTCTAATCTATACAGTACCTTTATATACATTGCATATTCCTATATAGCACCATGTGGCACCTATAGAAAGACCTGCATTTACATAATAGTCTTAAGTCTTATGTTATATCATTAACTAATCTCATAGATCTCCCTCTTCCTCCCGGAAGCCTCCAGAAGCTTCTCTCCCATCATCCCATCCCTCCATGTGACACACCAGGCCACTGTGGCATGGCGGTGTCAAAGCGCTGCGTCATCCGCGCCACTTGGCCCTTGGCATCCTCCAGGCGAGCCGTCAGCAGGTCCAAATTCTTCTGGTCGCCACCAATGGCGTGCCACAAGTTCATCAGTTCGTGCTTGAAATCTTCCGACCTGGAAAGCGCGGTGTCCGACTTCGCCGCAGATCGGCAGATCGGCGCGGTGTCCGACTTCGGGCAAGTCACTTCCGGCCATGAAAAGGTATAGTGAACTCCTCCCAGGTCGAATCAACCGCCTACTTATTGTCAGGTTCTAGGTCCGACCTGGGGTTTGGATGGGGTGAACGTCAAGGTAGGATGAGTGCGTCATGATTTAAGGGCTTGAAACTCGAGGCTGTGGTTTGGGATAGTGCTTATAAATCGCCCCACATCTAAATCGCCCGAAGTGGAGGGAATCGAAGGATGAGCGAAGTCCGAAGTGTGTCCCCCCTCGGTCCCGATGCAACCTTCGCCTGTCCAGTCCTTCCCCAGACCGATCCCTGTTTGAGCAACTCGTAGAGGTGTAACACTCATGGGGCAAAAGTTAACGACAAAATCGGAAGAGTGTTGAAAGCACTGAAAAAATGACCAAGTAAGCCATGCTTACCCACCCAAAGCATCGGGTGCTGAGTTCAGTGCTTTATTTTATCTGAGTTCAGTGCTTTCAACATTACCCTCAAACAAGTAGAAATCATCTTGCACCTTCAATTATCACATTGGACTATCATAGGACCTAAGTACTTGTAGGCCTTTCTCCAAGTGCAACGACCTGTTCTTTTTGGTCCGACTCAATCACGGCCATACGGTCCGAGTCAGTCACCCCATCATGGCGAGTTGACCGCAGTCCTCCGCTTCGGTAGTTCCATGACTAGACAGGAAGTGGAATTACCATGCAGTTTCTTCAACCCGATAAAACACTGTTCACCCCAAGAGCAAGCACGAGAGTAGACCACCAAGGAAAGCAGTCTTCCAAGGCACTATCTTCTACTTCCACTGTTGCATGGGTCAATCCTATCAGAAAAAGAGCAAAATGCCCCATACCCCATGTTCACCCGTTCACTCACCTCAGGAGATGGCTGTTCGGCTGGCGCTCCTCCTCCTCCCTTGCAGGACTGGCAGGACTGGTGGGGCTGGCGTCGAGGTCTTGGATCGGCGTCAAGCCCTCCTTGGCGCTGGCGCTCTGACCGTGACGGTCTGTGAAGGAGAACAAATGAAGAACAGACTCTCTTCCTGGAATCGAACGTGTTGTCCACATCATGGATATGATCGAGTCTACGTCGTTCACCACTTCTGGTGGATTCTGCCGACCATTCCCGACACTGCCAAGTAATTGAACAGGTGAGGACCCACCACTCAAGTGGCGGACGTCCGGGTTCTCAAAATCCAATTTTCCCAAATAGAACCCTCCGATAAAAGAGATCATCCCTCCAACCCCTTCTGACCATTTCCATGTTCACCACAAAAAAACAAACTACATGCAGTTTTACCCTCCCCCCAAAGCTTACGTTACAGTAATCAAAAAAAATCAAAAACATACATACATATTAACTGGGTGAAGGAAGATCCTCCGCCTTCCCTGTCCTTGTGAGCGCTTTTTGATGCTTTTTGAGCGATTCTTCCCCAAAACCTTTCTGGGGCGTGTGTCCTTCCTCCAATTCTTCAGCATCCCGCACGGCCCGTCCATGTCATCCTCTCATGGGTTTCAGTAGAGGGGGCCCGGTGTTGAAGGTCGCTTTCATCGACCTGTCCTTCGGCGACTTTCGTTCGGAGTTCGAAGCTTCGAAAGCTACCCCACCTCCGCCAACACCGGTACCCACATAACCTCCTACGTCCTCCACCTCATCTTGCTACATGCAAGGTCTCTAGGCCACAGCCAAGTCGCCAAAATCCCTACTCGGGTCTTTAGCCGTTGCATCTCCTCCCGCAGCGCCAGCAGCTGCGACGTCGTCTGCGCCGTGGTCGCGCCCGATGGCGATGACGGCCGCGACGGGGGCCGGTGCGCGCCTGCGACATCGGACTCGAGTCGAGCGTTCGACACCGGTCGAACGGGTCGAACTGCCAATCCAAACGTTAACATGCAAGAAACCACCATGTAACCAATAGACATGAAGACACCTTTCACGTACTAGATCGCCCAATTTCCACCACCCCAGCCTCTTCCCAGCTGTTCCCAGGCGGACCCGGTCTCCCAGCGCACCGCGCCTGTGGTGGCCGAGGGCGCATACGACTCCAGCAAGGCCAATCGCTCGTCCAGGCACTGACTTTCCAAGGTCCCCATGCGGCCCGGCAAGCGCGCGCCATCCAACTCCTTGATGTTCACCGCCTGCAAAGAAAACAAGATCAAGGGGGGAAAACAACACAAGCACAAACGTCGAGGTTGAAAAGGTGTGGTTTGCAGAGGGATAGGACCTATCCGAGCACCCTCAAGCTTCTAGGGATGCTTTGTTCGGGTGGAAACCAAAACGAAGTTAGTTGGATCCAAGAAACTCACCACCAAAAACGATCCGACGGTCCATGTCAAACATCTGCAGCTCTGAAAAAGGTCGATTCGGTCGATGTCGATCTGCTTTGAGGCTGAGCTTTTGGATGTCCAGCTGCTTCAGTCGAGTACGAGGCTCCCTCAATTCGCTGGGAGCCTCGCCCCGCAGCATGTCAACGGCCGTCACGTCCGCAGCATGTCAACGGTTTCAACGGACGGTCGATGGACTTTTGGACGGTCAACTTGAGACCAAGCGAAAATCGATTTAGAAGAGAAAAGCTGAGCTTCTTTGGGCCAATCGATTCAAGTTCATGAATAAGTGATAATAAGTGATAAGTCACTTATAAGTCACTGTCCCGTGACGGAGAGACCAACCGGCGGAAAACGTGCATGCTTAAGCGAGCTATACGGCTGCAATGTCACGGATCAACGGCTGTCACCGATCCAACGCGGCGCAGCGATCCAACGTGGGGCTGTTCGTGGTTGATCAACACCCCGGTCGGCATTGTTTCCACTAACCTGTGGTGCTGGTGGGAGGTGGGTTCTCACCTATTTGCTATAGAATTCCTAGCTATTCGTTTTGGCCGCGAGTTGGACTTTTTGTGGCATCTGAAAAGCATGCCTCAAATCCAATGGCCCAGACACCAAATCAGAGTCCTTCTTCGCATCCCCAAATCTCCATGTCTCTCTTCCTTTAATGTCACCATCGCTTTGACACCTCCCTTTCGTTCCTCCAAACCTGCTCCACCCACCATCTTTCTCTCCCAGGGACCAGTTTCTCCAAGCTCTGCTCGAGCTGCTCCAAGCGGTCCAGCAGACCGTCTGGAATGAGGCCCACGCCAAAGGGACCCGCAGGCTGTGTCTCCTCTGGCCTCGAACGGGGGTGCCCTCAGGGGCCCTCAGGGCTGACGTCCCGCAGCAGAGACGCTATGTCATCCAGTGCAACTGCTGTCATGGTTTTTGCCCAAATAAGGTGTGCAAATGTGCAGCTCAAATAGGGAGACCTCCTGGGCAACGACACCCTAAAAGAGAAGGGAAATGGACCGGCCTACCCATTGGGCCAGGGGGTCGACCCCGATGAAAATACACACCCAAATGACTCGAAGTGACTGCAAGACTGGTAAAAAAATCCTCAATGAAATCAAGAAGACTGGCAGTGCACGGCTGTTTTCTTTTGTTTCTTCTTTTTGCTGATACACTGATAGATACCCTTTTGGTCAGCAGGGTGGCAGGGATTTTTTGGGTGAGAAGCGCGGCTCGCTTGCGCCGCTGGGAATGGCTCGCCCAAGCCCTACCCCTTGGGAGAGATGAGGTCGGGTAGCAAATCAAGCACATGGTCGTGTAACATAGTAGTGCACCTATGACAAGTAACATGTGAACAGCTTTCAATTGCTTTCAAGCATCAAGTATCTGACAGCCACACTATAGACACCTCGTGGACACATCCCGTTTCTCGTGCAGTAAACCCCACCCAGGCAGCACCCATTTCCCACGCTCCCGAGTTGCGGTCCGTTTGCTTGGGAAACCGGAGACCCGAGTGGCGGTCGTAGTTCGTCGTTTCGGTCGTAGTTCGGCGGTGATGATGGTGCTCCCAAACTGATCCACAAATAGCCATTCCATGCCATTCCAAAGTCTATGCCAATGGACATTGATCGAGTCCAAGATGCCAAAGCAAAAGATAAGAAGGGCAAGAATGACCATCAAAAAGGAAAAGGTAAAGATGCCTAAGCCATTCATAGAAAGTATTTCGAACATGGCTGGTGGCTCGAAGTGTGAATCTGAAGATTCATGAGAACTCGTTGCCACCGGGAAATGATGCCTACTGAAAACCCCTCGAGCAGGGCCTGCTGTCCCTGTCCGCTTCACCGCGACGACCGCGGCGTGGCTGGGTGCGCCACCCAGCCGCAGTCCCCGAAGGCGACGTGTCATGGGAAGGTCTCGGGGACGAAGCATAGAACAACGCAATGAAAATTCTCAGGTCACATGAACGCAAACGTTGAACTCCCACAAGCAAAGCTCGTTCAAGCTGGTTGGCAATGTAATGCCGTCCAGGTAGCGAGGTTCAAACGCACGACCCAAGATCAAAGTCTGCAGGCTGCTAGGCAAGGTGACGCCTCTGAAGCTCTGGTTGAAGTCTCCCCCGAATTTCAGCGTCTGCAGACTGCTTGGCAAGGTTAGACCATCCAAGCTCTGGTTGAACCTTTTGCCGAAGCTCAACGTCTGCAGGCCGCTTGGCAAGGCGACACCTTCCAAGCTCTGGTTGAAATTATCGCCAAACGTCAAACTCTGCAGACTGCTCGGCAGGGTAACACGTTCAAGCCTCTGGTTAAACCGCAGGTGGAAACTCAAGTTCTGCAGGCTGCTTGGCAAGGTGACACCTTCCAAGCTCTGGTCAAAATCGCAGCCGAAGGTCAAACTCTGCAAGCTGCTCGGCAAGGTGACACCTTCCAGGCTCTGATTGAACCTATAGCTAAAGGTCAGAGTTTGCAAGCTGCTTGGCAAAGTGACACCTTCCAAGCTCTGGTTGAAGCTATAGCCGAACTCCAAAGTCTGCAGACTGCTTGGCAAGGTGACACCTTCCAAGCTCTGATTAAAGTCCTGCCCAAAGGTCAAAGTCCGCAAACCGCATGGCAAGGTAGCACCTTCCAAGCTCTGGTTAAACTCATGACCAAAGATCAAAGTCTGTAGGCTGCCTGGCAAGGCAACACCTTCTAAGTTCAGGTTGACGTCACAGCCAAAGGTCAAAGTCTGTAGCCTGCTTGGTAGCGTCACACCTGTCAAGCTCTGGTCAAAACAGCGGCCACAGGCAAAAGTCTGCAGGCTCCTTGGCAAGGTGACACCTTCCAAGCTCTGGCTAAAGTCCTCACCGAAGGTCAAAGTATGCAGGCTCTTTGGCAAGGCGACACCTTCCAAACTCTGGTTAAAGTCCTTGCCAAAGGTCAAAACCTGCAAGCTGCTTGGCAGGGTGACACCTTCCAAGCTTTGATTGAACATGTCGCCGAAGGTCAAAGTCTGCAGACTGCTTGGCAAGTTGATGCCTTTCAAGCGCTTATTAAACATATCGCCCAAGATCAAAGTCTGCAGGCTGCTTGGCAGGGTGACACCTTCCAAACTCTGATTAAACCGCTCGCCCAAGGTCAATCTTTGCAGGCAGCTTGGCAAGGTGACACTTTCCAGACTCTGGTTGAAACAGTGACCGAAGGTCAAAGACCGCAGGCTACATGGCAAGTTGACACCTTCCAGGCTCTGGATGAACATATAGCCGAAGGTCAAAGCCTGCAAGCTGCTTGGTAAGTTGACGCCTTTCAAGATCTGGTTGAACCTAAAACCAAAGGTACAATTTTGCAGGCTGCTTGGCAAGGTGATGCCTTCCAAGCTCTGGTCAAAGTACTCGCCGAAGGTCAAAGTTTGCAGGCCGCTTGGAAAGGTGACACCTTCCAAGCTCTGATTAAAGTCCTGGCCGAAGGTTAAATTCTGGAGGGTGCTGGGCAAAGAGACACCTTCCAAACTCTGGTTGAACTTAGCACCAAATGTCAAACTCCGCAGGCTGCTTGGCAGGGTGACATAGGGCAAGCTCCGGCTGTTGAACTTGTGGCCGAAGGTCAAAGTCTGCAGGCTGCTTGGCAAATTAACACCTTCCAAGCTCTGGTTGAAACAGTAGCCCAAGGTCAAAGACTGCAGGCTGCTCGGCAAGGTGAGGCTTTCCAAGCTCTGGTTGAACTCAAAGCCGAATGTTAAACAGGTGATGGAATTTGTCTCTGTGGCATGCGTATGGGATCTTGTCCCTTCTCTAAGGGCCTTGTGGAATCCAATCGCTGCCGCCAATGCACAAACCTTTCGAACAACATATGAGATCTCTCGGCCGCACACATCTTGCTGCAAAAGCTTGGAGGAGTCCTGGAGGATTTGGCCGCTAGAAAAGAGAACAATTTGAAGACCAGCTTCCATGCCAATTCTTGTTGCGATGGTCTCGGACAGGTCGCCCACCTCATGAGGCTTGGCTGAGTCGAGAGATTTAAACAAAGAACCATGGAAAACTGATTCCACACCCAGCTATGAAGCAAAGTCTATGACACCAATCGACTGCTTGTAAGTTCTGAGACACCAATTTTCACCACTTCTGACGAAGTTCTGTGGTTCAGAATGTTTTGCCCCAGAAGGTCCAGCACTTCAGGGTTTCTTTTTTTGTGGTTGAATCATGCAAGCTTCCCACAAGAAGTGGTACATCTACTACAGGAGCCATCATGAGCCTGCTTTGGGGTCATCTGCCAGTGCTTTTGCTACTTTGAGACTCAGGTACTTGCCTCAAGCTCATGCACAAGTTCTGCACCACAGCCTCCAGCAGTGGTCCGTTTGGAAAACGAAGACTCCGAACCCACCGACCTAAACCCTTCGGTCACTTTCGACCGCTGTCGACCGACCAGACCTGGTGCTCTCAGGGCGATGTCCAAGCCACGGTCGTGGTCGTCATCGGCAGCTGAAAGGTTGTGCCATCCAGGCCACTGACGCTCCAGCTCGGCCACTTTCGGCTCCGTGCCTCTACCATGAACCTCAGGTCGCAAGCCTGCGCGCTTGAAAGCACGCTTGCGGGCCAGATCTTGGAGTCGTTTGTTGTTTTGACCCTTTTTCCCCAAAGAAGACTGTTTTCGTCTTGAGGTAAAAAAATGAAGACGGGGTATCCCCTCTTCCGCTGATATGTTGATGTTTTTTTCTTTTTCACGGGTCCTGATGCTTCTCATCCAAATAAGTGATGAAGGTCGGTGGATGTTCACGAAAGCCCTCCTTCACTCAGGTGATCTTCCACACTTCAGGCCGAGAGACCATGGACTTACGTTTGATGCGTGAAGTTTCTGCACCGATTGAGATGTTGGGACGTCATGAAATATCCACTCTATCGATCTTATATAATTGATCTATAATATCATATATTATACACTGGTGAGTGTTGTTTTTGCAGTGCAGGATTACTTGCTTGAACCATATCACTATATACAAGATACCCGCTGAATCACCATCCCAGCTTCTCGTCTGCCCTTTGCAGCAGCCGCTCCGCGCGCTCCAAGTCATCTGCGATGAATTCACGCAGCACTGCTTCGCAAGCAGCGTCGGACACAGAGGACGTGCTGGCAGCGCCCATGGCGAATGGTACCGATTGGAGTCAACCAAATACAAATAGTGCCCAAGACTCCAAGTGTTGGGAGTCTTTTTTCGACAGGGAAGTCCTTTTGGTCGCCGTGATCGGCCCGACGACCGGCCCGACGACCGACCGACCTGACCTCGCCACGTGGGTTGGAGTCCCCCCGCTGACGTATGTTCCATCCACCTGAACTGGGTGGTGGCGGTGGTCTTCTTTCGCGTTTTCAGTGAGAGAAGGGAGTTCGGCTTTCGGATCAAAACAAAGGGTGTGAATTGGATATAGCCATAGCTTATACCCGTTCCTCCACGTGGTGGATATGTTGAAAAGCGTCGTTACACCTATCTTGAACTATTATTACAATGGCTAATTCAGGCATTTCTGAAGTGTCTCCTGCTGGTTTGCTGCAAGTCCTGAGCCAATTTCATCGCGCGGCTGTTCCGATCATCGAGTTCCCCTCTTCGACACATGTAACATTAGTGCTGTTGAAAAGGTCACGTCTCCCCCGTCCCACTCGATCTGGGTTGGGCATGTGCTCAAAACACGCGGAGGTTTCACGTGGTTTCCCACTCCATGGCCTCCCCGCATGATGGGAGGATCACCGGACTCCGTTGGACCAATTGTGGCACTTTCAGGAGTACGCTTGTCATGACGCGAGCGTCACGGAAGAAACCATCAGTACGGACTGTCGGTTTATGCGCGCGCGCACACACACACACATATTGAGTGCATGGCTCTAAGCCACATCAAGCTGGTCGACACCCAAGCTACGTGTACACCCTGAAAAGTCTGCCCCATTCTAGGTTTCAACCAACATTCTGGCGGCTGGAGAAAGAATTCACTTCTCACTTCGAACGGGGTGGCTCACCGCGTCTTCTTTCATCCAAGTGGCCTCTCTTCATCCATGGCTGACCCGGAAGAATCTCGCGGCACTGCAGCGGCGGCAGTTTTCAGGTCCAAGAGCTCGTTGACATGGGATTTCAGCCACGACAACCTCAGACACGTCGAGTCATCGTGGCGTTTCATCGTGGCGGGAAGAAAACCCCAAAGAAACCTTTCAAGGGGTTCGTTGCTGAACAGTGTTTCTGCTGGGTGGAATTTTCAGGATCTCAGTTCACTAGCTTCCAAGAATGTAGTTGGAACATGCCGGAAAACTAGGGTACCAGAGCCTCGCATGCGTGGAGAAACATGAAGGAACTATCCCAAGGGTCCTAATTTCCTGATCTTCATGGATGAAGCCTGATTTGGGTCCCATGCACCGCTCTGTCCGACCAGTTGACTTCGCCGAGCGACAAATCGGCGCCTTCCAACACCCCCGGCAGCGCAGCCCCGGCCGCCACGGCCGATGCGGCCGCACGTGCCGCCAAGGCCTCGTCCACAAGGCCTGCAGGGGGAGTTTGTGTTCCCAAGCCGATGCCGAGTTGACCTGCAAAATGGTTAAGATGGCTAGCCGCTTGCGAGGACTCTAAGATGGCCTGGAAGTCTGGGGAGAAAGCAAATGCACAAAGAAGTGCCCTGGAAGTGCTTTGTTTAATGAGGGATTGGAAGTGCGTAAATTCTGCCGGAGATGTGTCACAAAAATGCCGAACAGCCGGGCTACTCCTAACTCCTGCAGTTCGTGGTTGAAGCATCCGGGCTGCTGTCGAAAACCGACAATGGGGAGTCGCTGCGATCCTCATCCGATCCTCATCCGGTCGGGATCTGTCGGTGGACGACTTAATGAGAAAACAGACTTGAGTCAACAGAGAAAGAAGTGCCACCGACCCAAAGCTACTAAGCTCATCCTGATGTTGCACCAATACATCCTCCATCGACACCACATCTCCTCATCTCCGCCCAACCCGCCGCCCAACCCGCCACACACACCATCCGGCTGTTCCAATCCTTTCCTCCGGAGGCAGCCGAACCCGGAAGCCGTCCTTGGCTCTGCGAGGAGACGTTGCTCGGCTTCTCTGAGGCCTTCCGGCTGGCAGCCTTGGGACCTAAGGAAGGTACGCGGCGGGTGTGGCGATTGGAAGGTCTTGGGCAGGAAGTGGGGACAGGGTTCCAACACTTTGAAGATCCAAGTGGGGACGCAATGTGCAAGAATGATCGAAAGAGCTCGTGTTTTGCCAGGTGTTTTGCGGCTGATTTTTCCACGTCTGCAGAGCTTCGGAACCCCGAACGATGTCCCTCGACTCTCCGACCCCTTCATGTGCCACAGGTCAGTCCTGCAGGACCTCCCGAAGAAAGGTCCGGGGTACTCCATATTTAAGAGCCCCGGAAAAGAGCTTAAGGATGGTCGAGGAGTGTGTCCATTCACCACCCCCTTGCTGTGGGTCCTGGCAGCTGCTTCTTTTCGGAGAAAGGTCTTTGCTTCAGAGGGACGAGTGACGGTCATCGACATCAGCGGATCAGAAGAGACACGGTCCAAATCACACAACCCTGCAGCTCACAAAGGGGTGACATTTCGTCGCCCCTAGGAGTGGCAAGAAGCACCCTCCAATAGACTGGCCTTTAAGGAACCCAATAGCGATGGCCTCCAACATTCCGAAGAAAGCAAAACTGGACTAGGAACAAGTGCATCGCTACTAGTAACAAGTGCCTTACTAGTAGTAACAAGAAGCTAGTAGTTAATTTAGTTTAATTTCAATTACTGCTTCAGCGGAAACTGCGTCACGAGACTTCTGGAGCCCTTGCTCCTCGAGCTCTTGGGGCTGCCCGGCAGCTCCAGTTGCGGCTTTCCTGGCATCGCATCGCTTTGGGGCTAATGCCAAAGACCGTTTTCGATTCATTTGGTGCTTAGGGATTGATTTAAAGTTGGGAATTGATTCACTCAAGGCTTTTGCAGGGGAATCGTACGAACCACCCGTGGTTTTTCTGGATTCTTTAATGGCACTTGGCGTGCCCACATCCTATGGCCTGCAGTGGAGAAGGTGGGGCCTTTTTCCCGTCACAGCAGTCACTCCCATCGGCTCGTGAGGGGCACACTGCGACTCGCGTCGGCCCAGTACACCGTTCCATCGATCATGGAGATGGTGGTCCAGCAACTGGCCGACAGCGTGATGTCTTTCCATTCATTGAAGTCTTAGGAGGGGCAGGGAAAATGGTCAATCCCACGAACTAGACTACACCCCAAAAAAGCTTCACAAGCAACTCTAGGCCCTAGGCATCCCCAGGCCCTGGGCCTCTGGAATCGGCGACTGTGGATGTTGCATCCCAAACCACTGACGTCATTGCTACTGCTACTAGAACGTAGCTTCTTGTTACGTTCGTAGCGATGGCCTCCCACCTACTTGCGAATGGTCTCTGAGCATATAGCGTCCGATCGCTCCGTTCGTCGCGATGCCGGTTCCGTTCGTCGCGTCCGAACGCCACTCGAGTCCCGCCTGCGGAGTCCGGCCGGTTCGCGCCGCTCCCGCCTTTGTCGCGGGCCTCGGTGGGGGCCACGGAGCGTAGGTGTCGGGTGGGAGGTTTCGCCCCGTTTCGCAGCGATTGCAGAGGTTTTTTGTGGATTGAAGCGATTGAAGGATTCTTCTTTTTTACCGAAAGATGGTCTTTTGGACCGGGAAAGCACAGATCATCACAGATCTAAATTTGAGGATGAAGGTTCTGAATGGTTCTGAAGAATTCCCTGCTTTCAGTTGGAGTTGTCCAGAAACGGTCCGAATTGGACCAAACATCGCCTCTTGTTGCCAAATCCTGATTCAAAGGACCCATCATCACTGGGTGATGTTATCGAACCCCCAGTTACGTTCAAAAACATCCAGTCACGGGCCCAACAAGACGCGTCCGCTTCGAGTCATGTGTCACACCGGATAAAGGGTGGACGATCAGTCCTTTGGCACCGAAGGGTGGACGAACTGAGAGAGCAGACGCTCCTTCCACTTTGAGGGTAAAAGATCATGAGCGTGTAATTCAATAGGAGACCGAAGCCAACCAATGGGTTGTGGTCTGCAAAACCGAAAAGGAGTCGATACATGTCAGCAAGGACCATCCCGAGTCGATGCACGCCTGTGGCAGGCGCATCCGAAGGGCGGATCTCCGATCAAGAGCCACTCAAGAGCCACTCAAGAACCAGTGGGTCGAATTGGAAGGAATGAGAGGCTCTGAAACTCTCATCTATATAGACTGACTTATATAGACTAATAGACTAATAGCATCTAATAGTTGCATACTCCTGGCAGGGGTGGTCCCATCTTCCCATCTTCCCATCGCTCCGAGGTCTACACAATCACCAGCTCCCAGTGGCCGACGGAGAGCGACCCGCTCCCGAGGGAGTGCGCGAGACCGCGGGCGAGACCGGCTCCTTCTGCTTCGTGAGCAAGTTCCTGGACGGAGCGGACGTGGAACGGGACGGGACAGAAGGACAGAAGATTGGAACGGGTCCAACGCTTCTGTGGCTGTGGAGTTGGTGGAGGACCACTCCAGTTTGAGCCAGGAAATCCCATCAAAAGGTTCGGGTTGGTTGCTTTGGGAGAATCTCTGGCTGGTTACGGCTTACTGTGCACTGTGGTGCATATGAAGAATCCCATGCAGAGTCTTGAACGCATCGATCAGTGCATCCATCTTCATGGGGTGAAAGGCAAAGAAGAACGAACATGAATGTCTCAGTCACGAGCTGGGAATTTTTGACTGGGTTCTCTCAAAATGTCAAAGGATGCAAAACAAACTCCTGCCTCAGCATCATATCTGTGGACATGAGCCGGTTCTCAATATTCTGCGTCTTGCTGACCTCGAGTCAAAAGCGTTTAGCTTTGGATGTTCACAAGGCCAATGGATATGCATATTACCTTAAGTTCAGAAAGATTTTCATCTGGGTCCACCCATGCTATTCGTCAGGATGTGACCCAACCGCCATGTTTTTCGAGCGAAGCATGTGTTGATCACATTCTGTTTGCAACACCTCCACCGAGGGAACACATGGAAAGCCCAGGCGCCACACACTCCTCCACCCGGTCGCCCAAGCCGTCAGAGGCCCTCTGGAGCATCTCGTGGATCTCAGCCTTCACCGTCTGCCTCAGAAGAATGTGAGGGAAAAATGAAGACCCAGCATATATTATAAAATTATATATGTTAAAAACTGAAAGGTACAGCAAGAAAAAGGGAAGACGAACATGAAGAGCTAAATAAAGAGAACATGAAGACAGGCATGACGAGCTGAAAGATACAAAGGAAAAAATGCAGACAAGTATGAAGACCAGAATGAAAACAACAATCAAGAACTGATTTGACTGCCTCCAGTCTATTTTATGGGTGTCAGGATCTCATACGCCGACAGGGCATCAAAGGCAATAAACTAAGTTGAGATCTGCAAGGGTTCTGCAGGTTTGTTCATGTACAAGCCTTGATTGAGGCATGTTTGCAAAGGTTCCCATCCGCAGAGACGCCCGTGGTGAGTCTCACAGGTTTCAAAGTTGAGGAAGGATAGTAATCCGCCGGCCTGCGGGTGTTGTTTTTGCCTTACCAACTTAGCTTTTGGAAGATCATGGGTAGGAAGCATCGTATAAAGCATCTTCTTGGCTCCTAGAGGTCTTTCTGAATGAGAAGGGCCGTGTGCATCATCCAGAAGGTAACCTGATGCCATTTGAGGGCCTGAGTGCCCAGAAAGGCCTTCACAGTCTCATGCAAGATGAAGCTTGATCAAAGCAGAGAAAAAGGACCACAATGCGATACCACGCGTGATTGTAAGTTCAAGACCTATATAATTCCAGAAATGGTTTTTGCTATCCACGTTCAGTTTAACATGCGGGTTGGAATCCCAGCACAATGTCATGTAAACAGGAAATGAAGCTTTGTGCTATGTACACAAAGGATCACAAAAAGAGGTCGGCGGCACCAGGGCGTTGGCCCATTCCAGTGATGCCGTATGGGGAGTTTATCGCCCATAGCTTTAGCTATGGGGGGTGCTCCCCACGCCGGCGACCCTCCCCCCTTACGGTGTTTTGTGAAACCGAGCTAAAAACATTGCGCTCTCGCCTGCATTTCGAGCCGCTTTTACCCTTGGAACGATTCCAGAAACGGCAAAACGAGAAATGTAGCGAAATCCTTGAGCCTGGTGGGGGGAGGAGACCTTTTTGGGGGACCCAGGGAGGTCGAAAAATTGCCAAAAAACACACAGGCAAATTGGACAAAAAAAATTGGGATCTGGAAAGCGGGGTTTTTCTTCACAAGCCGCTTCTGCTGCCAGCGCCGCCAGTTTCTTCAAGGCAGATCGTCCAAGAAGATCAGCGTATCCTGGCAACAGGGTCACAGTGCAGCGTTCAAGTCAAATGGCGATTTGTTCGACAGTTTTTTGCGCAACTCAACTCCTTGCCCGAACTCAACCGGTGCCTTTTCTTTTTCTTGGGCTTCTTCTTGGGCGCCTCCTCGTTTTCCTGGGGGGGTGCCTGGCCGTCAAAAAGCGAGTTGGCGTTTGATGACTCCAGTGGTTTGGTAGGTGTGTCTGGCTAGGCCTGAGCGGCCTGCGTTTGCTTCTTGCTGTCTTCCTTGCGGCCATCAGTCTCAGACTCCAAACAAACAAACAAACAAATCATCAAAACAGCGCTGAATCAAAAACAGACTCAGAATTCAATTCTTCGCAGGGCCCTTGAGACGATTGATCCAGCCTTGCGTATCTTTTTTCGCGCCTTTCTTTCTTACTCTTGTTGTCCTTGCCAGCACCTGGTGATGGCCCTGGGTCGGCAATGGTCTCTGCCATAGCCTGCCGGGAATGTCAAGCCACCCAGAAGATCTTTCATTATTTCCGTTTCTACGGAACTTTTATCAGAAAAACCTGGCCTGCTGGAATCTTTCTTGCAGAGCATCAAATTGCTTGACCTTTTCCTCAATGATGGACTTCTTCGCACGCAAAGTCTCCGCGATGGTGCCCCTCTCATTCTGCAACGCCCAAAGTTCCTTGCCCTTCTTGTCAATCTCCGCGAGGTTTCCCAGAAAACCTGTTGAGATCATCCCTTTTGCAAACTAAGCCTTGTTTTCGACAAACCCAACAGCATAGACCCAAAGCTGCGGTGTTCTCATCGCGGTGAAGAACTAGCCAAGTGTCAACTGAAGAACCATGTAGTTCCAGAAACGTTTCCTGTTCCCACTTCTCGGAAGATCGGGAGTAGGTGCAGATTGCGCAACGCCTGGGATCCGGACACTCCAGCACACGCTGGATCAAAGCATCTTGGCCGGGTTCATGACTTGGACCGGTTTGGCCACTAGTCTCTGTGAAGGACCGTTTTCTAGTAGCCTGCTTCATGTAACATCTTCTGTTCTCTTGCGCTGTCTTGGTCTCGAAACCCACCTTGTCAACTGGGCGGCCCCGGAAGCCAGGCAGCATGGTCTAGGATAAAATGCGTTCAAAAGGGGCAACTTGAAAGAACTTGACATTCGCATTGCTTGTCTGTTTCATGTTCGTTATAATCGTTTCGATATTCAAGTACAGCTGCAGGAGATTGATTTAAACTTATGACTTGAACTTAGCTCGAACCAGGACCACTTAACAGCGGCAATGTGCTAGTTGCACTCTAGCAGCGCTGTTTTGGGAAAGACATCTTTGCACTCCGGGCGCCACAATATGCAAACAACGAAGCAACGCTTTGACCCTGAGCTGTGCTTTGCTTGAGTTGTCAACTTTCTAACAGCCAAAAGCACATGCACAGCCACAGCACCTCGAGTGAAAACTTCTGCCACGAAATTGACATCCTAGTTTGTAAAAGGCGAACGTCTGAACTGACTCAAGAAAGCTGACTGGGGCTCCCCTGAGTCTGACGCGGGAGCATGGTCGAGGTTGTGGCCTTGGGAGAGACGATGAGCGTTTGGTTGAAGTGAAAACTCAAACAACTGCACATGAGGAATGGCACTCTCACAGCGCCCAATGTACTGGCGCTTTCAGTCGCAGCGCCCTGACAAAAATATCTGGAAGCTTCGAAGCTGTTTTCGGTTTGCGCCAAGGCGCAAAACACTGTAATACAGTGCTTTCACAAATTTCGATCTAGAAAAAACATGTCGCAGCGTTACAAAAACTGCGTAAATATCGACGTTTTTTGGGGCGTGGTGCGCGAAATGCTGAAAAATATCGCGCTTTTCGAGAAAATCTCGTAAACACCGTGGCCTTGATAGCTCAAAACCATCGGTATCTACGTGGTTTCCTGGCGTGACAGCACCAAAAACTACGCAAATAGCATGGTTTTGGGCCACGTTTGAAGCCTCGAGCAGCAAACCACATCGATATTTACAGTGTGTTCAATCTGTTTGGTCATTCAAAAAAAAAGGTATCTCCACCACCAGCCTGGGGGATTTTGCCTGGTCTCTTTTTGCTTGCGCGCACCTCAAACTTGTTTGATACGAGGTCTCGGGGGGCCCGCGCGCGTGCGCCACGCATGCGAAAGGAACCACAACCATAAAAACCATCAAGAAATACAAAGGCAACGGACAGCCGTAAACAAAAAAATAGAGACAAAGGAAACTATCCGAAACTGAACACGACAGCGAACCCGCGCCCAACCGGCATCGCCGGTCTGCGAAGCTCTACAATCTAGTATGATCTAGTATGCGTGCCAGTTGACTCAAGTTCTCATTTCAATAATCCATCGAACACTTGAATCGCTGCTTCACGATTCTTCCCATTTCCATGGTTGTTTCCATCGCTTCTCTCGTGCGACCCTCAGGGCTTCCCTCGAGCCGAGCATGGCCGAGCTGCATCTCAGTGAGTCGGTGTTCTAAGTACGCCAGCAAGTCGCTCTGCGAGGGAAACTTCCCCTGGCCTCGGGGGGACGACCGCGGACGACTGGACGACTGGACAACTCGCCATTGGCCGCGGCGAAGGGAGGGACCCTCCATCCAGTGGGGAGCAGAAAGGTGTCAGGTGTGCGTTGAAATCTTTGGAACAAAAGGCGCTTGTCAGGCAGAAAATATCGGGTTGCCTTTGTGTCCCCTAGAAGATAGAAAGAGTCAGCTCGCAATCTCACTATAGTCGGCCCGATCCTTCCAGTAGTCGTTCGAGCGAACCCAAAAACAAGAAGTCCAAAAAGCTACGTAGTAAGATACGTTCAAAGGAAGTCGGCTCTTAAGAATTGCGAGAATCTTGAACATGTCATAGATGAGTCCTAGTGTTGAAAGAAGAAATCCCGCAGCATCTAGCATCAACAGTCCATGACATCCCCAGGGTGCATCTCGGCCCCAGACATTCTTTAGGCTACGATGACCATCTCTGGGTCAATCTTTTGGATCCACCAGCACTTGCACCGCCTCGAAATTCCAAAAAAAAATAACCTTCTCAGTCCAGCGGCCCCAGTTGGTGACCAAGCTGGGGACCTGCTTTGCCACTTCAGGACTCAAGTGTCCATCCTCGCCGGACTCGCGGTCCAGTCGTCCGGTCGGAACCCGAGGGCAAGGGCGGTGATCGATTCGTGCGAAGCCATTGATGTGTCTGATTTGGCTGTCAAAATGCAGATACCATCAAATTTCATTATGATACCTTGATAAGCGATTTAAACTAGAAGCCATTTCAATTCTGTTCGCAATTCATGATACCTTGATGAAGCGGTCAGATCGAACTAAGAGAGCTCTGGTGGTAGGCGAAAAAGAAGGGTAGGAACATGTTCTTTCCAAGCGGTCTCTTCTCCATGTCCATGTTGCCTTTCAGGGGCTTGCAGGAACCACCGCGGCTGGTTCGGTACTCCACCCGCACCAACGGCCAAAAGCACCGGAGTTCACGGGACGCGTGAGTGGACGGGTGGACCTGCACTCGCTCCTCGTGGAACTTCCACTCCAACTGTTCCATACGAAGCCAGACTTCATCAATGTTCTTAGAGGATCGATCCTCGATGCCTCGGGAATGTGCAGATCAGGCGTGGTTTTTAAGATGAAGGTGATTTGGGTCGATTGAGGGGAACGTGCTTTAAGGGAAATGTGCTATCACCACGTAGTGGTGATGCTTATTTGTCCGTGCCCGCGGATTCGATGGCAATTGGAAAGCAACGGTCACACCCGGCAACGTGGGCTACTAGTAGACCTTGGTCCCCAAAGTTTCCCAGCTGGGTCTACTGTTGCCAAACAAATCAGCAAGGCGCAAAAAGAAGAACTGGGATACAGACATCCAAACACCTACAAAAACCTTCGAGTAAAGCAAACGATGGTCGTCTACATGGCTCGCATCAAGGAAGAACTTGTGGGAAAGCGGTGTTGAGTTCCAAGTGGTATCAAGTTCTTCGACAGGAAGCCGGAACCAAACAACCCTTTGGAGCTGCTCGGGGTGGCGTTCGAGTTCCTGTCCTGCCCAGCCGCTGTGTGCCCAAGTGGCGTTCGAGCCGCTGCTCGAAGATGCGGAGCCGCTCGTCCACCGAGTCGTTGAGCTGCTTGAAGCTTCCTCGGGCGAAACTGGGAGACCGACGACCGACCTTTCCGGCATCGAGCCAGTGAAGATGACTCGAAATGGTCAGGTCAAACAAGGGGCCCGCGCTGAACTGGTGATGCAGATTTTTGGACTACCGGCTGAGGCAGGGAAACCAAACAGAGCAGCTTTGTATTGGTCAGAACCCAGGGCTCAAAAGAGATATGTAGGGCATGGCTGAACTGAAAAGGGGCCCAAAAGAATTGGCATCCTGGAGACCTTCCGTTCACACTCATATCAGCAGAATCCTATAGAATCCTCAATTTTCTATATAAATAAGACAAGACAGAAGACCACTTGCCTCTTTGTTACAAAACACACACAGACATGTATATATATATATATACACATCATGATTCATGATACATCCCCGGCACAAAAAACACGGTCACTGCGCCCCCTATGCGTTTTGGCCCTGTGCGTGGGCCGTTTTGGGTGGTCACCGTCCCCACGGTCCGCTCAGCGTCGGTGGAGGCTGGCCACCTCCGTGGCCAAGGCCTCGCGGACGCCGCGGGAGACGGCCGCCAGGGCCACGCGCTCCTCGGGTGGCAGCGGGTCGCGGAGAGTTGGGAGGTTTGGAAGAGTTTGGAGCGGAGGTTTGGGAGAGTTTGGAGGTTGGGAGGGTTTGTTTGGAAGTGTCTTTTTCCAGATCTTAAGCCTTTAGAGCCATGAAAGAAAAATCTTAAGCCTTTGAGATCCAAAGACTCTGGTACATGCCACATTGGGGGGGGGGGCACTAGTCATCACTAGTCACTAGTCATGAAGACCTTCGGCAGCTGGGAGGAAGCCTGAAAAGAAGGCTCTCTGGAATTTCGTTGAGAGTGAACTGGATTCTTAAGTAACTGTGTGGGTTCACATCCAAACCTGCTTGCCCTGTTTAGTCCTGAGCCACATCAGTCTCAAGGCTAGTTTTGAAAAGAACTACTTTTAGATGCTTTCGGGAAATCTGCCATCTGCGATCAACAGTTGGGTTCCAAGCTGTTAGCAGTGAACCCTTGGACGGACAAACGCCCAAAACAATTCAATTGTTTTCAGGTATGCGAATGCACGCACCCCTTGGGAGGTCGGCAACCCTCTTCAGACTGAGCAGCAGCTACCACAGCAGGGCATTTGCCTATTTCCATAAGTGCTCGTGAAAACCTATCCATGCACCCACCGCGAGATGAGAGAACTAGGGCCTTGGGGCCTTCGAAGAAAACGCCCCCCGTCCTGGGAAACATCTGGGTAATCCTTCATGGTCCAACTATGTCGAATCCGAGCTGTTGGCGAGCTCGGACCGCGTGCTTTCCAAGCCGATTTCCCTTCGTCTCGGAGGACATATGCACTTCCAAAGCTCGGCGTCTTGAAGGAGCTCCTCGTGCTTCTGCTGCTTCACCGCTCCTGAGGCCGGAAGAACTTCCGATCCATCCAAGTCCGCTTGAAAGCAGAAGATTCTTCAGTCCTGCTCGGCTGGAAAATGATTTGCCGGCTTCTTTTTCTGGGGAGCGAGAGCCACCGAGCCGGGCGAGATGTGGAGGTCCCATGGGATGTTCTTCCTTTAAGGTGCGGTTGAAGGTGACTCAATCATTTGATTGAATCGATGTTATTTGATGCCTTGAAGCCTTAAACATGTAATCTATTCCCCAGATAGTGAGAGCATGTGAGAGCTATCGGGGTTCCTACTTCAAGTATAGGAAGAGGTGCTTGTGTGCGTTTTGGAGCTTTGGGTACTGCCGCCGCTGCAGCATTGTAATGTACTTTATACAATTTCTTAGCTTTGGGAGATCAAATCGTACAGAGGGGAAGGTAGTTGCTGAGTGGGCCTGACCACCTGTCTATTCTGTCTGTCTGTTGCTGTGCAGTCAGAGTGCCGTGTTCACTGTCTTCACTGAGGTGCTGTTGCTGCACTCAATTTGGAGTGCTCGGTTTGAACAGGGTGGATTGTGCCCCAACTTGCAACCACAACTTTGGGAAGTCCTCGTTTCCTGACCTATCTGTTTCTGTGTAGCCTTCTTGGATGAAGCTGTCTGTGGTCTTTGAAGACCTCGGAAAACGACCTTCGCTGCACAACGAATCGAAACGACCGACTTTGCCGTGTCAAGGCTCTCAGGTTCTGCTCCAGCTCCCGTCGCGCAGCATCCAGTTGCATCTCCAGGAGTGCCTCCTGGGCCTTTCGCTGCTGCTCCACCTGCTCCTGGGAGCAGAACAGCACCAGGTTCATCTGGTGCTATCTTCGCCCAGTTCATGAACAAGAGTGTCTCTAAAATAAGCAATTACAATAATCATCATCAATCATCTGCCAAACAGGCAAGGCTCTCTCCCTCCATCTCTGGCACTTGTCAATCATCTGAAAGAATATATGAGGCCCCACAGCTGGCCAAACAGTCTGAGTGGAGATCTCAATCGCACTGCTTAAACCCAATTCTTCAAGCATTCGCTCAACCTTTGCACCTCTCTTCCCTACACTGAACTCTTTTTTGTATTTTTTTGTTTAACACTGAACCCTGCAACCCAAGGCTTGTGCGACAAGTTCTTTTTTGTTTTTTTCGCACCCCCGGTCGCGCCGCAGGTCGCGACCGGTGCGCGGCTGCCTTGAAGCTCGTGAGGCTTTCTTCCACAAAGGTCAGGCGCCCCTCCTCCATGCGCTGCGAGCTGCGTGCTTCGCACTGCACCGTGGCCGCATGGCCACTCTCCATTTCGAGACGTCCCACGTCTCGTCCGGGTGCTCCACCGACTTTGCAGCGGAGCGGGCACCAGGGGGGGGTGGAACAGAACCCCGACTCCTCAGACCAAAGGCTCGAAGGGTCGGGGTGGCATCGACCGAGGGGTTGGAAAACGGAAGGACTGGTGGTGTTTAAGAGGCCATCTTCAGGTGAGCAGTGTTTGAAACCTGGTGAGAGAGCGCAATGTTCGATCCGTGGCAATCGGAGATTGGACATCTGAGACCCCCAAGCCGAGGCCTGGACCTTGGAAAGCTAGGGGTCAGTCGCTACCTTCCATAGGCCATATGCTGTATATAGGGCTTCCCATAAAGTGCACCATGCCGGGTGACGATGGAAGGGTTTTTCGTCTCATTGAGATGAGTCCCTCCAGATGCAGCTGTTTTCGTTCCTGGTGACAGGTCATCTTCCTCGACCAATCCAATTGTGCTTCTCAATCGAGGCCCTTGAAGCACTCAACTTATCTCAACTGTTGTAAGTCGGCCGGTGATGTCCTGTGCTTGGGCCGCGAAACCATTCCGGACGTGCCAAAACCATCCGCTGGTTACTGTGTTGCCCCGCCACTTTCAAACGCCCAGAACGTTCACGTCGACGTTTCTCGGCATTCGATTCTCACCACGTTTTGGAAGCTGAATTTGACCCACACCCCATAGGCTCAAAAATGGTTGAGGTCGTAAACACTGGGCTGTCCATTCAAAAAAACAACACGTACCAGGGCAAATGGCTAGCTTGGAAAGTGTTCTAATTTCATCACGACGTGTTTCACGTTTATTCAATAATTCCCCACATGAGCTGCCAAAACCTAAAAGTGGAATGGGCATGGATTTCTGGATTGCTTCTTCACGGTTGCGAGCTCGCTGTTCTTCTGAAAGAGGACAATGAAGTACGATTGAGTATGACTGAGACATCTATAAAAGAAAGTTTAACCCGTCCCAGCCACCAAAACACCTCCCTCTCCTCCCAGCTCCCCATGCCTCGCCCCGGGAAGGCATCGTCCGTGCGGGAGAAGACGCGGGGCGGCACGGCGCCGGAGCTCTGCAAGAGCCCGAGCCAGCTCGAAGACTCCGGCGGCGCCTGGGGTGTCACCCTGGGGTGTCGCTGGTGTTCCTTCCAATGTGCAGCCCCAGGTGTGGCCGGAATTCAGAAGAGCACCCATGGATTTGAAGATCCAAAGATTTGACATCCTATTTCATCCTATTTCTAGTATGCTTCAGAGTAGAGGGGCCTGTCAAAGCACCCATTCAGAGCTCCAAATAGAGACAAGGGTTCTTTCTTGCCTTCTGAAAAAAAAAGAAACATATATAACCTCCTCCACCATCCTCCACCCAACGGCCATCTTGGACCACTTGTTTTACACCGCCCACTGTCCCGACGACTCATTTTATCGACCGGCCTCAATGGACCATTCGACCGGCTCGTCGCCCTGGTTCAGAAAGTAGATGGGCTCCTGAGAAGTGAACACCGGGTGTTGCTGAGAAGTTGCTGTCCCACAAAAGGCATCAATGAGATTCAATGACTATAATTAACTAGTTAGAGTCTGACTTGGATGTGCTGGGCTAGTAGATCACTGTGCTTTTTCTGGTGACATTGGTGGTGATGTGTCGTCTTCTACAGTGAAACTCGGTGCCACTTGTGATCTTCACCGTGCTTTGGGGAGGTGATGTGTTCTCTTCTGGAAACCCGGCGACCAACGGTTCACCGGTGTGTTCAACACTTCGACAAGAAGTGGAAAGCAGAAAGAGACGGTTGGTGATTTCTAGTAAGGTTTTTGGTTTTTGGATGTTTTTGGTGTAAGGTTCCATGGAGCAAAGGACGCTACTAGGGGCTCCTGGCGTCGCTTCTAGTAACAAGTGCCTTACTAGTAGTTAGTAACAAGAAGCTAGTAGACAAAAACCAATGCTATGTACTTTCCCGGACGAGATCGGCCGTTGGAGGTGACATCCGTCCGAGGCTCAGTGGCATCGGCGGTTCCAGGGCTCTCCAAGAGGGACGGACGTGCCAGGATATGAATGTAGTCCTTGCGCTGAGAAGGCAATCGCGGCTTCAAGTTTCAGTGCCTATTCACCTCTGTTGAGTTCATCCGGTGTGTAGTTCTTGATGCCAGGAAAGAAATGCAAACTGCTTGGGGTTGGGGAGAGTGTCCAAGCATTTCCCAGTAATGCTGTTTCATGGTTTGTCATACGTATCCAAAGGTTCCAGTGGTGTACTTTATCCTCACCTGGGCATCTGGTGCGCTTCTATCTATATGTTGGAAATGATTGTTTCCCCGAATATAGATGCAGTTATGATTGGTGCATGCCGCACATGCCCATAACCCATTTGACCCAAACAAACCATGCTTAGCGGCGCTCCCACGAGCACTCGTCGCGTTCGAGCTCTTGAGCAGGCCAAAGAGTCGAACCGTGCAGGTCATGTGCTTATGGGCCCTATGGCTGCCGATGATGGTTCAAATATTGTGCCTCCAAAAATACCCTCGGACACATGGAGTTCGCGTTCTTGTTAGCCCGGCCTGGGTGCCATCCTTTTCGCCTTCGCTCGCTCGAACTCGCTCGAATGAAAACTGCTGAGGGGCATAGCTCTTGGGAATCGACGGCGGCGGCCACGGGACGAAGTCCAAGGTGGGATCGGCACGCAGCACCGAGCAGGCTTGGCCCACGTAGCCCTCCTGGCGAAGAACCATCAGAAAGGTGACAGAAAAGATAAGCATGTTAATACTTACAAGGAAACCCTGACCTATGCAAGAATTATGACTCTCTGACTAAATAGACTATGTACTCTTTCATCTATCACTCGGGGTGTTTTTCATGGTGGTTTTGCTTGTAGCAGCTGGGAACTCTGCAATCGTCTTAGTACTTACAAATCCATGCAGACCTTGAGGATCCACATGCCTTCTGAGAAACTCGGAACTAAGTCTGGCTTAAGCATCCCCAAACATCCCCCAAACCTTCTCTAGAGGCATATATAGGGGCTCTCTGAATCCAAATCCTGGATCCTCCATCAGCGATCATCTTTAGATTCTGAACATGAATTTTTCCTCCACTTCGACCCCGTCACAAACTGACCACATGTCTCCACCCCCCAGCGTCTGCCGAGGGGTCACCACATGTCTCCTCCCACAGTCGAATTCGACCACGATCCTCTCCGGCGCTTGACGTCGTCCTGACAGGTACATCGCCCTGTGAAGGTGTCGCAGCTTCCAAGGCCTTTCGGAGAAGTTCGCTGGTCGCGGCGGTGCGGATAAAACGCACGCAGCGGTGACTGGAGGGGGTTTACTTGGAGGCCCTCCACCTTCTGGGCGTTCCAAAAATGCCATCAACAGAGTCAACAATTGTTGCAATGTAGTGCACCTGTACGCCGTACACATGAGTTCTAGTGCGTCCAGATGTTTGGGGGTAGGGACCCGCTTCGGACATGTCGAGACGTCCCGGACATCCTCCCGGTGGTGCCTGAACACCAGCTGTTGTTGTCGCCCAGCCTGCGACCGGAGCAGCGTGAAGCGTGAAGCGAGCGGTGCCAACGGGGCTCGAACCGGGTGGAACGGAAGAGGCCTTGACCTAATGACCTTTGAATGAACATGAATGACCTCATGACAAGTGAACTATATAAATGACCTTTGAATGAACTCTATATGACACTATAATATGAACTAAGTGTCTCGAAAAATATATAAAAAACATCTTAAAGAAGAGTAGGAGGGGTTGATGTTGCGTCAACATTGCGCGAAGACGTTCCATCTGCAGATGAAGGCATCCCTTGGACTGGGCTGGTTAGTCCAACGAATGCATGTGGTTTGTCAAGGACGTGGAAGGGGTGCCCAAATGCACCACCATTCGCCCAAATGATTCGCCATGTACCCAGCAAGTGAGGGGTGATCCACAATATGAATGAATATAATTCAATATGAGCTGCTTGAAAAATAGACATATCCTCCACTAGTGTCTTCAAGTGCTGTGGCAAAAGTGCTCACTCAAGTAAGCCGTTTAAATAAAAACAAAAAAGACTCCTTTGCATGTGGACTATGCTCCTGGAGAGGCCAGTCGTGAGGCCCATATGATCCACCCGAACAAGGCCAGTCATTCTCGGTAGTCCTATACCAAACTCCCCAGGAAAAAACACATGTACATGTATTAGGAGCAAGGACTAGGGGCTCCTCACGCTTGGGGCTCCTGGCCTTACTACTATAGGAGCAAACACGCTACTTCACAGGTGCGAAGCGCAACTTCTTCGCCTGGGACAGCTGGGTTTGATCTGCGGCTGCAAGGGATTGAGGATCGCCTGGGAGGGACGGAGCCACCCGGACGCGAACCGGTGGGTCGCCTGGGAATCCACGGCCACACCGAAACTTTCGGAGGTTCTCTTGTGGGAGTCAAAGTACCTCAGGGGGAACAAGCCATAATCATTTTATATAAACGGTTCTCCTTTTCAAATCTCTACAGTACCAGGTCTCGAAGCATATGAAGAAAACACATTTCATGCACTCATTTGCTACCGGTACTATCCGGTACTGGATTTTCCAGCCCTGCTATCCGCTGCTTCTTCTCAAAGGGAGGGAAACGGGACCGGCCTGTGCATGGCTCCTGTTTGGAAAGATCTTTGCACCATCAAACACCCGGCCTTCGCCGTCCACGCACGCGCCCCACGCGAAAACGCGTGCGGTCGTGTGCGTGCCCAAGTGGCCAGGTTGTTATTGAGGTCCGCGCTAGTGTAGGAGGGGAAGATCTCCGACGTCAACCTCGTTCGTTGGGCGTAGCGAAAAGCTTGGCAAGGTGAGGCCCCGACTGCAGCAAGAACCTCTCTAGTAGGTCACCAGGGTGAATGCTTCGGAAGCCTCTTGGGGGCGGCTGCTTTTTTCGTCCCGGCCGAGCCTGGCGACCCAAGATCATCAAAAGCCATAATCCATATAGTATATAACCCGACGGCAAAAGACGCTTCCTCGGTGGCCAGACTGCCGTGCTTGTCGTTCGCCGTTCGCCTTTGGGAACGCTGACGGTAATGAGCCCACCGACCAAGCAGAAAACAACGGCAACGGCGCAGGCGTCGCGGCGGTTGGGATGTAAATCCAACGGCGCAGGGTCCCTAAGGGGTGGTGAATGGACATCCCTTGTGGTTTCTTCTGTCTTCCCTCCTGAGGATGTGTCATAATTGACCTTCAACGGCCTCAACCAAACCCTGAGTGGCCTGGGCTGCCTGCCCCTGGCGTGCATCGCTTCAGCCACGGGGCGCAGCGACCCGGCCCAGGTTCACGTCTTCCTCGAAGATCACAATGTCACCTGGTCCGATGGCGCACGGCAGAGGGTCTTCCTCGACGCAGCGGAAGCATGGCTGGATGATGCTGGATGGCTGTTCATGTCTTGAGTAGTGGTGGCATCATCCAACACGATCCAAACCCTTCTTCTTATTATTATTGACGTATTATTCATCATCATCCAACATCATCATCATCGTCATCATCATCATCATCATCCAACATCTCATCCAACAATATGATCTACAGTATCCAGAAGAATCCCAAAAGAAAATCCTTCTAATTCACACACACACAAAAAGATTGTCTAATCTCAACACGTGACACCATCTAACTCTTGAGTCTCTCCGGCCCTCTCGCCCAGTGCCCATCGCCTGATGCCAAGCTGAAGCCTGTGTAGGCCAAGAAGACGCAAAGCCCACTAAGGCTAAAGGAGAAGGCCAACAAGAGCCAGCGAAAAGTCACCTGGGCTCCGCTGTCCTCCTCCGCGTTCTTCGCGTCTTGAGGCTACGCTCCAGGTTTCTCGGTTTTCCCATTGCCCCCTCCATGGTGCATGGCTTGTCACAGTGCTCTTCACGTCGTAACCACGTGCTTCAGGAAAGCTCGAAAATGATAGACATTGGCTTGTGAGCTTTGAACGACTCTCCATTCACCAAAAGCGGCAAATAGGGCCTTCCCCACCAAAGAACACCACCTTCGATGATGGATCCTGGACTTCTATGGACTTATGGACCCCCTCTTTAGGGTCCTCCCACTTCCCTCTGCCCAGGGTCCCTGTCCGTCCGTTCGTTCGTTCCCAAGGGGCCAAGAAGGGCCGAAAGCGCCGATCCATGAAGCGCTCGGTGCAATCCTCGGTGTCCGGGTTTCGGGTTTCGGGTCCCACTCAGATGGAGGATTTGAGTGGCTTTTAAGGGTTGGTTGGTTGGTTGGTGGGTGGGTGGGTGGGTGGGTGGGTTTTCTTTTAGCCACGTGAAAGATGGATGAAGACGCTCCAGACCATTTTAGCCCCCCAAGATAAAAGATGTTCATAGGTGTTCATAGGAAGGTGTTCGGATTGAAGTTCCTTTGGAAGTCCACACGGCCATACCAAAAAAAATCCACCACATCCGTCTCATGTATCCGCCATCCTGTGCCAGGGGTTCATGACCGTATCATCGAAGTCGTTCACCGGACTCGGGATACCGATCCGGACTCTGGGGATCTCTGGAGATCTTCACATTTGACCTCACCGATCTTACTTTCGGAGGGTGTGGTTGGTCGATGGTCATTTGGATGTATTTATTTGGAGACCCGGAGGGTGTGGTTGATCTTTTTGGCTCTTTTCTTTCTCGAGTTCTTTGACCCGCCACGCCAGACACCAGACACCAGACCTCCACACCAACTGCGCCAGCAAACACCCAAAAACCACACCCCCGCCGGGGCTCGAGATGGTCATGTTGGATCTCCGTTTGCATGTGGAGCACGTAGTGAGAGTCATGATCCTGCGGCGAGGCGCCTGGAGATTGAGGGGAATCATCCGAAGCAGGAAAACTCTGGCTTCAACACGTCCAGGGTGTTAGCAGAGGTATGGGAAGAACAAAGACATACAGAGGTGTGCACCGAACGTTGATCGTGCCAAAGGCCACCTTGGTAATAGATCCCTTGACAAGTCTAGTTGTGTCCGGTCGTGTCTCTTTCGTTTAAAGGATTGTGAGTAGTTCACCCGCAACGTGCACCGGATCGTGGATAGTGAGTACAGAATCCGCCCTGCTGATGACTTGGCGCCTCAGGATCCCCCTCTGTGCCGATACATCTTCCAGCGGCGTGTCTAAACATCAGGTGCTCACTTGCGGTGTGGATGTTTCGGTGGTTTTCACTTGAGACATAAGTCCATGAAAGAGCAGTGGATGGCTCCAAAGTGGGACCTGCACACAAATTGTGATTGCATGTGATTATAGTTTTGGAATTTAAAGGACAAATAACATCGAATAACTTCCTACCTCCTGCACGGCAGTAGCCTTCATCGTCGGTCATCTAATCCCTACTAAGCCACAGAGTGCATTTCTTCTGCAACCTCTACAACCTTCAGTCCTCACCCAGCTGCAGACGGGACATGTAAAAGGAAATGAAGCATGCTTTACTACACTTGATATACATATATATAAATATATATACACTCCCTCCAAGACTACTACTTCCACTGCCACTACCACTACCACCACTACTACTACTACGACGACGACGACGACGACTACTACTAACCCAAACATCCCAACCATGCCATGTTTCTTCGCAGCCCACTCAAGTTGGCAGCGAAAACACCACCAAACACGACCGGTCACCGGTCCCACCGGTCGGTCAAGGTCCTTGGAGAACTGCCTGGCCAAGCGCGAAGCGGTCTGCACCATCTCCACCGCCTCCGCCTCCCCACAGCTGGCACTCGAGGGCGCAGGGCCTGAAACCGACGGAGCTGACAGGGCGGCAACCGGATGAGGTGCTTGGAAGACAGCACCGGTGGGTGGGTAGGGGGGTGTCATGCTGGAGTTCGAGCTATCATGAGTGCGTTTGCATCCAGAAAAGCTTTTGCTCAAAAGACGAAACAAGATAAAGGTTAGAGGCTAACACCGCTTCCAGCAACATGCAATCAAGTGGCGTTACCTAACTTGT